ACACTTTGTTCTGATTGCAAGTTCTGTGTCATCCACATAAAAGACGTATCCTGGAGTCCTTTACAACTTTTGAGTCAGCACGCAGTGAAAAGATTACAAAAGACACAAATTTTTGGTGGACAAATCTGAAAGGAAGAGATCATTTATAAGATCTAGGCATAAACAGGAAGATAATATTAAAATTGGTATTAAAAAATGTTGGTAGATTATGGACTCGTTTCATTGTAGCTGAAGATAGTGACAACTCTTGTAAACATCGTAATTACCATTCGGTGTTCCATAACAGACGGGAACTTTCTTGGCTATGTGAGTGAACATTTCTAAATTAGGACTCATTCGTGTACACTACACGCCTCCGTTGGAAAATCGTAAAAATACAGTAAATATAGTTATATTTTCATGGTTCTCCTTACATTTCTTAACAGTTCAACTTTCCTAACATTGTTTCCATAAGCCTCCAGACTAAGAAACAAAACTACATAATCAACAAATGACGTGGATTTATTACGCGCCTATCATATCTTGAAGAGCTTCTAATCTCATGAAAAACAGTCCGGCAGATGAGCTTAGTTCTAGTCAGCCTTACATCGGCGCCGACATTACTTTGTATTCCTGAATACAAGTGATGCTAAATTTTACATAAAATTTCATATTTTTTTTTATTTCCTACTCTCCACTATATGCGCATACAAACATGTATATAATTCATGGATGAAGGGGGGGGGATGTCCATTAAGCGATTGTGTTTCTTTGATGTCAAGAGGACAGTGCCCTCAAAAAATATTGTCCGACATATCTTAACTTTCTGTTAAAATATTCTACAGCGCGATAAATTCTTCTCGGGCGACTATCCGCGTCGATATGGATCCGTTGTCAAATGTTTCAGAGACCTTCTGTGCCTCCATCTTCAGGAAATCAAAATCTTTGAAACGTTGGACTACAGAATCCATTTCGACCAGGATAATCGCAGGCAAAAGCGCCTAGTGAAGAAAGAGAAATGGGAAATATCTTGCAAGGAAAATAATTTTTGGAAAATCCAAAGTTCATTCTCGGGATCCCCACCGAAACGTCAGTTCTCCTACACAAATTGAGCAGGACAGCACAGCGGTGTATCATATTACTAATGTTTGAGAAGCACCGAGTTCGAATCCTAACCAGGGTATGGTTATCTTTGGACATATATCGTTCCTCTCCTCAGTACAGCCAGCAGAACACTAGGATATTGGATTAAAATAGGTCACGACAACTTTGATCCACATACGCCAAGAACGATTATTACAACCACTGTACCACATCTCGTTTTATATAACACATTCTACAAAACGTCCCAAATTAGAACAACCCACTAAGCGAGCAATATCTTCCATATGAATTCTGGAATAATACTTCGAAAATCTGTAAGAAAGATATTAAAGATATTTATCCCCATCGAAAGAACCGGCCCTGGGTTATTTTGAGCCCAGAGATAAAAATTTACCTCTTTTCATCTCGTAATTCCATCGTATCGAATCGTCAACTTCTCTCATTATTTCAAAAGTTATTTCTTTTATTATATTTTTGCTTTCACAACAAAGTGTACCATTTCGTATCGCCAGAACATTAACGTCCTGCGTCAACTTTAATGTACATCTAGATCGGATGTTCTCGACCATTTATAAGCCAAATTTAGTTAAAACAATGGCCATCCGCGAGTTTATGACTCAACGAAACGAAATGTAAATCAGCCATCTTACCTGTCAAGATGTGATTAATGAGCACGCTTCAAATTCCTCGCAGAAAAAAATAGTCAGTGAAATACTTCGACAATCTGCAGTTTACTGAGAAACAAATGCATAATGCAACGCGATCGTACCACTGCGCAGACGCGATCGTCTGCCTATCAGTCTGTTTACACGTCCGCCCAACTCTCTGCTGACATGTTATGCACGAGACATCTCTTTGTGTGTCCCGTAATCTTTCAGCAGTAAAAATTATACATGGCTTCTCAACAACAGAAATGATTAATATTCGCCATACTTTTCGATGCTACGCACGAGATATCTCGCTTAGGAACATTAGAATCTACAGGACATGTTGTGTGAGACTATTATAAAAGTAGTAAAAGCCGTTTGTGGTTTAAAATCAGACGTTACCCGTGGAAACCCTAAGGTAACTGACCTTTTATATAAAAATAACATTAAAATGAGAATCCTCCAAGAGACGCTATTGTAAGAAAATCCTCATAAAATCAAAATAATAATAATAATAATAAAGATATTAAGTCTGAACCGATACAATCATATTATA